CCTCCATTCTTGGGACAATATCTTCCTTCCTTTCTTTCTTCTTTTTCTGGTACATCGAAATGGAATCAAGATAAAATAATAAATAATAATAATATAATAATAATAATAATAATAATATAAATAATAACATGTTGCAAAAAAAAAAAAAAACTGGAAAAAAATGACCTCATTTCAAAACATGATTTAAAAAAAAACGAAAAAAATTCAAAACATGTCTTCAAAAAAAAAAAAATGAAAGGCATATTCCAAACCAAAATTAACAAAACGAAAAAAAGGACAAAGACACGTAAAGGCTTTCGTTATCTCCTCGGCGTGGTCTGAACGTGGGTCTGAACGTGGGTCTGAACGTGGGTCTGAACGTGGGTCTGAACGTGGGTCTGAACATGGGTCTTGGGTCTGAACGTGGGTCTGAACGCTCGAAAGCTTCTTATTCTATGAACAAAAAAGGTGAAAGTTTCATTAAGAAGTTTGAAGACATACCTGGGAATCTGGGAATCGCCTGCTCATCTCCTGTGTGTGTGTGTGTGTGTGTGTGGGTGTGTGTGTGTGCGTGTGCGTGTGTGTGTGTGTGTGTGTGTGTGTGTGTGTGTGTGTGTGTGTGTGTGTGTGTGTGTGTGTGTGTGTGTGGTGTGTGTGTGTGTGTTGTGTGTGTGTGTGTGTGTGTGTGTGTGTGTGGTGTTGTGTGTTGTGTTGTGTGTGTATGTGTGTGTGTGTGTGTGTGTGTGGTGTGTGTATGCGTGAGTGTGTGCATGTGTGAGCGTGTGTGTGTATGTATGTGTATGTGTATGTGTATGTGTGAATGTGTATGTGTGTGTGTATGTGTGTGTATATAAGAGGGAGCTAAACATTCCACATTCCACTGCCTTCATCACCTCCATCCACAAGCGAAAGTCTCCGTGTATACGCCATGTGTACATGTTCAAAACACTGTCACACCCTTTGTCGATTTACTAAACATTACTTCAACATAAAATCGTCTTTTCCCAACAATAATAATCCTTCCTCTCCCGGTAGCAGTAATAATAAAAAGTAAACAAAGATATAACCTTAAAAGATAAACAAAAAACAGATACATGAAGTGAACATCCCAAAAGATAAACAAAGAGATGAACTTAACAGATAGAAAATAGATAAGAAAAAATAAATAAAGTGAACATCCAAATAGTAAACAAAGAGAAAACAGATAAAGAATAGATAAAAAAAATAAAGTTATCCCAAAAGTAAACAAAGAGATGAACTTAACACTTAAAAAATAAAAATAAAGTGAACACCAAAAAAATAAATAAATAAATAAATAACAACACGCTTACAGAGGCTCATATAAAGATAGAAAATAGATAAAAAAATAAATAAAGTGAACACCCCCAAAAAATAATAATAAATAGATACACAACACGCATATAAACAGACAGAAAATAGATATATTTTATACATACATAGAAAATATAGAGGCTCATATAAACAGACAGAAAATAGATTAAAAAAAAAAATAAAGTGAACACCTCAAAAAAAAAAATAAATAAATAAACAACAACACGCTTACAGAAGCACTAAACTCAACACGGATATAACACGCGGGTTGTGTAAAAGGTCAACCTTAAGGAGAAAGACCAGAACACTTAACATTTTACTCACAGTATGAGTCCTGACGCTGTAATGTATCAAATGCCCTTATATAGCCATTGGTACGTGTTCAGTGCGCTTCGGAAAAAAAAATATTGTAGTTTACGTATTGTAGTTTTAGTTCGTTGTCATGTAGTTGTATTCCTAGCTGTATGTTGTAATATAGCCATTAGTTGTGTTCAGTGCGCTTCGGGGAAAAAAATATTGTAGTTTACATATTGTAGTTTTAGTTCGTTGTCATGTAGTTGTATTCCTAGTTGTATGTTGTAATATACCATTCGTACGTGTTCAGTGCGTTTCGGAAAAAAATATATATTGTAGTTTACGTATTGTAGTTTTAGTTCGTTGTCATGTAGTTGTATTCCTAGTTGTATGTTGTAATATAGCCATTAGTACGTGTTTCAGTGCGCTTCGGGGAAAAAAATATTGTAGTTTTCGTATTGTAGTTTTAGTTCGTTGTCATGTAGTTGTATTCCTGTTGTATGTTGTAATATAGCCATTCGTACGTGTTCAGTGCGCTTCGGGAAAATAAGTTTACGTATTGTTGTTTTAGTTCGTTGTCATGTAGTTGTATTCCTAGCTGTATGTTGTAATATAGCCATTCGTACGTGTTCAGTGCGCTTCGGGAAAAAATGTTTTATTGTAGTTTACGTATTGTAGGTTCGTTGTCATGTAGTTGTATTCCTAGTTGTATGTTGTAATATAGCCATTAGTACGTGTTCAGTACGCTTCGGGAAAAAATGTTTTATTGTAGTTTACATATTGTAGTTTTAGTTCGTTGTCATATAGTTGTATTCCTAGTTGGATTGGATGTTGTAATATAGTTAGAGTTGTTAGTGTAGTTATATGGTTAACAATTCGTGTTGTGTAAATGGAATATTAAAGTTATATTCGGTGCGTTTCGGAACAATGCTGTGTCGCAATTTATATTCTGTGTCATACTCATAATTACATATCCTAGTTATATGCACACTTCACAATAAATAAATAAATAAATATATATATATATATATATATATATATATATATATATATATTATATATATATATATATATATATATATATATATATATATATATATATAAGTGTCATACGTCTCGACACGTTTCGTTATAGTATTCGTTATAATGGAGTTTATTTCAGTTTATGCTGCACATTGAATTTGTGAAAATAATCATCATCATTCGTTATCATTTTGTCTTTCCCTAATGAAACATTTAAAAAAAGATCACTCTGGCGACGAAAATAGAACGAAAAGAAAAAAGTCTTCGTCGCCACTCGTCGCTCACTGGCTCGACGACCTACTGCGGCAGCCATTGTTTCGTGTTTTTGAAGTCGATGCAAAAAAAAAAATGAAAAAAATGAAAAAGAAATTGGGCTTTGGTGGACTGATCGGGATTTTTATTTCATTTATTGTGATTCTTTTTTTCAATTTTATTTCTTCGTTTTATCTATCGTTTTGTTTAAGGAAAAGATTGTATATTGTAATTATTTGACAAGGTGTTTGTCTAAAAGTCACGTATTTTTTTTTTATCTATCTATCAATCAACCATTTTGGAGAATTATTTCACTTAGCTTTGTTCATTTTTTATTTATCTATTTATTTATTAGATCATTTATCCGTCTGTCTCTTTATCTGTTTACTTGTCTATTCATCTGTCTATTTATCTATTTCTCTATCTATCTGTCTATCAGCCTGCCTATCTATCTTTCCATCTATCTTTCTATCTCTCTATCTATCTATTTATCATTCTATCTATCTATCTACCTATCTAGAGGGGATGCATTCTGCCTATAAAAAATAGCACAGTAGCTCTCTGTCTATACATCTATCTTTCTCTTTGTTGATCTACTAATCTCTATATCTATATAGAGATATCTCTATATATTCCCACTGTTGTCTCTGTATTATCACTATAGTCACTGTATTCTCACCATAATTCCTGCATTCTCACTGCTGTTTCTGTATCCTCGTTGTTGCCTCTGTATTCTAACTGTTGTCACTGTATTTTCACCGTACTCTACTATCACTGCAGTCACTGTATTTTCACCATACTCCCTCTATGATCACTGCAGTCACTGTATTCTCAATGTAGTCTCTCCATGATCACTGCAGTCACTGTATTCTCACCATACTCCCTCTATGATCACTGCAGTCACTGTATTTTCACCATACTCCCTCTATGATCACTGCAGTCACTGTCTGATCTGCCCATTCTCTCCTCTTATGATCACTGCAGTCACTGTATTTTCACCATACTCCCTCTATGATCACTGCAGTCACTGTATTCTCACCATACTCCCTCTATGATCACTGCAGTCACTGTATTTTCACCATACTCCCTCTATGATCACTGCAGTCACTGTATTCTCACCATACTCCCTCTATGATCACAGTCACTGTATTTCACCATACTGATCACTGCAGTCACTGTATTCTCACCATACTCCCTCTATGATCACTGCAGTCACTGTATTCTTACTCCCTCTATGATCACTGTCACTGTATTCTCACCATACTCTCTATGATCACTGCAGTCACTGTATTCTCACCGTAGTCCCTCCGCAGGCCCAACATCCACCGCCGCAACCTCACCGTAGCCACCGCGTCTTCACCGTGACCTCTACATCCCCCCAGCATCCGAACCATTTTCCGGTCCCTGCTGTCCCGACCTACACGATGTTTATTCATAATCGGATGCTAGTTCGGCTTCTGTTTAATTATGCCAGTGTGCTACAGGCTTCATACTTTAATGCCTGGTCGGGAGGGCATTGCGCGCATTCGACTGTGCTCCCTTGCTACGTTGCATAGCCCTGAATGCTCCGTTGCATGGATCATTGTCAGTCTTAAAGGTTTGTTTGGCTGGTAAAATGCGTTCTCTTAATATCCGTTCAAGCGTTCAAGCCTTCGGTAACTTCAACTTGTTATAATTATTATTGTTATTATTATTATTATTATCATTATTATTATTATTATTATTATTATTTTTTCTTATTCTATTTTATTATCATTATAATTATTTTTTTTGTTCTTTTTTATTTCATATTTTTCGTTTGTAATCTTTGCAGGTGGGATACGAGAGGTTGAGATGACATTGTTTAAAGGGGGAAATAGAGAGAGGGAGAGAGAGAGAGAGAGAGAGAGAGAGAGAGAGAGAGAGAGAGGAAGAGAGAGAGAGAGAGAAGAGAGAGAGAGAGAGAGAGAGAGAGAGAGAGAGAGAGAGAGAGAAATAGAGAGAGGGAAAGAAAGATAAGAGAGAAGAAGATAAAGAGAGAAAGAAAGAAAAAAGAGAAATCGAGAAGAGAGAGAGAAAAGGTATAGAGAGAGAGAAAGAAAGATAAATGAGAAGAGAAAGAAGAAAATAACAAGACCCATGCACCGCTCCGCCCCATGAATACAGCGCCACCAGAAAAGCTAAAAATAAATAGACGCCATAAATTCCTACTTGGCCGATTTCCCCAACGTTCACAAATCAGAAATCCGATTGTTCAGCGTTCCCTCAGCGAGAGACCAGCGGCACTCACGCACACGCTCAAAATCCCCTTTTTACACTGGGACTGTTTCTCTGTGTTGAGGCTATGACACCTGACCTCTATGGCATGTTGCGGGTATCGGAGGTTCCTGATTCGTGTAGAGGATCAACGTGCTACAATTTTGCATATCGAAATAGGGAGGTTATGGTAGGAAATCGGGCTACTGTGCAGATTAGGAGGCTCCGATATATAATCCTGGATTTAAAGGGGTGATATTTTTTCACGTTATGTATTGTGCTTGTTTATTATTTATTATTTATAAATTTATTTATTTATTATTTATTTATATGTTAATTGTTTATTATTTATACTGTCCTTATTTATTGTATTATGCTTGTTTGTTTGTTTATGTTTGTATAATGCTTGTTTGTTTGTTTATGTTTTATGCTTTCTTTGTTGTTTATGTTTGTATAATGCTTTCTTCTTTGCTTGTTTATGTTTGTATAATGCTTGTTTGTTTGTTTATGTTTGTATTTATGCTTTCTTTTTGTTGTGTTTATGATCACAAAGAGAGAGAAATTTATTTTATTGTATTAAATGATTATCTTTATTCGTGTTCATCGTGGTTGGAGCTTCTTAACGATCTTCATAATTGTTAACGTCATTATTGTTATTATTATTGTTATTGTTATTATCATTATCGACCCGAAGATGGATTCCAGGAAGATTCCGAAAATGTCTCACTTATTTCAATAAATCAAGTTTGCGCATCGTACGTTTTTCTACCACTATTATCACTATTTTCATTATTACCAACATCATAACCATTATATCTATCATCACCATCATCATAACCATTATCATTGTTATAATTATCATTCTAATTATCACCATTACTATTACCATCACCATCCCATCACCATTACACCTCAATTAACATAATCAACATCATAATTATCATTAAATTAGTATATCCAAACGGATGTTCTTGTCTTGCATTATGAAATATGGATAATATTTTGAAAATCGAGAAGGTGAACGATGCTTTGTGAAAATCCGTAAGCCTGGCTGTTAAAGGGACATTGTTATTATGAGTGTCATTATTCTTGCTCTCTCTCTTTCTTTCTCTCTCTCCTTCTCTCTCTTCCTCGTTCTCTCTTCTGTCTGTCTCTGTCTGTCTCTCTGTTTCTCTGTTTCTCTGTCTCTCTGTCTCTGTCTCTGTCTCTGTCTCTGTCTCTCTCTCTCTCTCTCTCTCTCTCTCTCTCTCTCTCTCTCTCTCTCTCTCTCTCTCTCTCTCGTCTCTCTCTCTCTCTCTCTCTCTCTCTCTCTCTTCTCTCTCTCTCTCTCTCTCTCTCTCTCTCTCTCTCTCTCTCTCTCTCTCTCTCTCTCATCTTCTCTCCCACCTCTCGCACCTCCTCACTTCCTACAAGAAGCCACAACGTCCCCTCGAGAGAATCTCCACCCTTCTCTTCTCCCCTCTCCCCTCCCTTCCCTCTCCCTTCTCCCTCACCCCTCTCCCCTCTCCTCCCTTCTCCACTCTCCCTCCCATCCCCTCTCCCCTCTCCCTCCCTCCCCTCTCCCTCTTCCTCTCCTCTCCCTCTGGCTGACCACATCCGAGGCTTCGTCTTTACGAGGGGAAAATCGACCCCTCCGCTGGAGACCTCGCCCAGCTTCGTATGAGGGAGAAGGGAGGGGAAAGAGAGGGAAGGGGAGAAAAGAGTAGAGCGGGGGGGGGGGGTAGTGGGAGGAGAAGGGGAGGGAGAAAGAGGGTAGGATAGAAAAGAGATAGAGAGGGGAATGGAGAAAGAAAATAAAGAAAAAGATAAAGTAGAGACAAAGAGTAGAGCAGGGGGAGAGGGGGGTAGTGGGAGTGAGAGAGGGAGGGAGAAAGAGGTAGAGAGGTAGGATAGAAAAGGGATAGAGAGGGGGATAGAGAAACAGAGAGGAGGGGAGAAAGAGGGAAGAGAGGGTAGGATAGAAAAGGGATAGAGAGGGGAGGGTAGAGAAACAGAGGGGAGGGGAGAAAGAGAATAAAGAAAAAAAATAGAGTAGAGAAAAAGGGTAGAGAGGAGAGGGTAGTGGGAGTGAGAGAGGGGAGAGCAGGAAGAGAGAGAGAGGAAAGAGAAAAAAAGGATAGAGAGCGTGAGAGAGGGGAGTGGAGAAAGAGGTAGAGGGGGAAGGATAGAAAGAAAGGTAGAGAAGAGAGGGAAAAGGAGAAAGAGGATAGGAAGGGATTGGTAGAGAGAGTGAGAGAGGGAAGGGGAGAAAAGGGTAGAAAGGGAAGTAGAGAAAACGATTAGAGAGGGAATAGTAGAGAGAGCGAGAGAAAGGAGCTAAGAAATAGGGTAGAGAAAGTGGGAGAGGGGAAAGGAGAAATAAATAAAGAAGGAACAGGAGAAAAAAGTAAAAGGAGTAGAGTGAGTGAGAGAGGAAAATGGAAAAAATAAATAGATATAGGAAGTGAGAAAGAGGGAGAAAGAAGGTAGAGAGGGGGGGGGTCTGAGGGAGCGAGAGATGGGAGCTAGTAGAGGGGAAGAGGAAGAGGGAGGGAGGAGGAGGAAAGGAGGGAGGGAAGGGAGGGAGGGAGGGAGGAAGGAGGAGGAAGGGAGGAGGAGGAAGGAGGAAGGGAAGGGGAGGAGGAGGAGGGGAGGAGGGGAGGAAGGAGGAGGAAGGAGGAGGGAGGAAGAGAGGGAAGCGGAAGGAGGAGGAAGGAGGGAGGGGAAGGAGGAGGAAGGGAGGAGGAAGGAGGAAGGAGGAGGAGGGGATGAGGAGGGAGGAAGGAGGAGGAAGGGAGGAAGAAGGAGGAAGGAGTTATGAGGCGGAAAATAGGATAGGGAGCTAAGGAGATTTTTTTGTGGATGGGTAATGGTTGAGGGGAAGGAAGAGAAATATGGAAAAAAAAGGAATTAAGGAAAAAGACGAAAAACAAAAACAAAATAGAATAGGAGGAACGTAAGAGGAATTAAAGGAAAAATTTAGAAAAATAGGTGGAACGTAAGAGGATTTAAGGGAAAAATAAAAAAATAGGAGGAGAGCGAAAGGAATTGAAGGAAAAATAGAAAAAATAGAATAGGAGGAACGCAAGAGAAATTAAATGAAAAATAAAAATAAAATGAAATAGGAGGAACGTAAGAGGAATTAAGGGAAAAACAAAAACAAAATAAAACAGGAGAAACACAAGAGAAATTAAAAGAAAAACAAAAACAAAATAAAACAGGAGGAACGCAAGACAAATTAAAGAAAAATAAAAATAAAATAGAACAGGAGTAACACAAAAGAAATTAAAAGAAAAAGAAAAACAAAATAAAACAGGAAGAACGCGAGAAGGGAGCAGAGACGAGATACAAGACAGTGCCAGAGAGAGAGGGCCACGTGAGAAGTGGTGCCAGGGCCAGGAAGGGGAGCTGGAGTGGGTGTGCCATAAGCTTATAGATGGACGCATGTACATGGAGATGGAAGATAAAGATGGAGAAAGAATGGTTGAAGAGTTTAGGGAGATGAATAAGGAAGGGCGAGAGATCACACACATACACATACATGGACACAGACATACATACATACATACATACATACATACATACTCACACATACTCACATATACATACTACATACTACGTACGTACACACATATACACACATCCACATACACATACATTCACACATACACACACACACACACACACACACACACACACACACACACACACACACACACACACACACACACACACACACACACACACACACACACACACACAGCAACACACACACACACACACACACACACACACACACACACACACACACACACACACACACACACACACACACACACACACACACACACACACACACACACACACACACACACACACACACACACACACACACACACACACAACACACACACACACACACACACCACACACACACACACACACACACACACCCACACACACACACACCACACACACACACACCACACACACACACACACACACACACACACACACACACACACACACACACACACACACACACACACACACGCACACAGGAGATGAGCAGGCGATTCCCAGATTCCCAGGTATGTCTTCAAACTTCTTAATGAAACTTTCACCTTTTTTGTTCATAGAATAAGAAGCTTTCGAGCGTTCAGACCCACGTTCAGACCCACGTTCAGACCCACGTTCAGACCCACGTTCAGACCCACGTTCAGACCCACGTTCAGACCCACGTTCAGACCCACGTTCAGACCCACGTTCAGACCCACGTTCAGACCCACGCCGAGGAGATAACGAAAGCCTTTACGTGTCTTTGTCCTTTTTTCGTTTTGTTAATTTGGTTTGGATACGTATTTTCATTTTTTTAGACCATGTTTTGAAATATCCTTGTAATTTTTCTTTTTTTCAGACCATGTTTTGAAATATCTTGTTATTTTTCAAATCTTTAAATCGTGTTTTAGAAAGACCTCTTCATTTTTCCTTTTTTTTTTGTTAGATAATTTTTTGGAACTAAGCATAAATAAAGATTCGAACAATAAAATAACTCAAAGAGAAACCCAAAACAATGAAACAAAAAAAAGAAGATAACAAATACAAATAAATAAAATGAAAAATAAAGAAATAATAAAATATAGTAAATAGGTAAAATAATTGATAAATAAATAGAGGTGTGAATATGATACTTAAGATGCACATAGGTGGATACTGATAAATGAATATACAGATGTATAAGCAGATGAATCAATGAAAAGAGAGATATAGCAATAAATGAATAGATAGATAAAGTTATAAATGGATAGATGGATGAAAAAACAGCTTTTCTCTCTCTCTCTCTCTCTCTCTCTCTCTCTCTCTCTCTCTCTCTCTCTCTCTCTCTCTCCTCTCTGTCTCTCTCTCT